AGTAGCTGGGAACAAGCCTTCAACAGTTTCTTTTCTGTTGCCCACAGGCTGATTCCACTTCGGCAGCTGCTGGGATCCCTGGCCAGCAGCCCAAGGGTCATGCAATGTGCGGAGACTGTCCCTGTCTTACTGGAGCTCTTTTTCAGAGTGGTGGCAGAGGTAGGCACTCTTGGGGGAGTTTGGCTCCCAGTCGTGCCACAGGGATCTCTTGTTATGTGAAGAGCAGTTGTAGAAGCGTAAGTGTTAAGACACTGCAGCTTCAATAGAGGGGTGCATGAGGGGAGGGTAGGATGGTCTAATACTGGCATAAACCAGCGCTGAGCTGGCTATTTCATCTGGAGAAACAGAAAAGCTCCATGATCCAGTGTCAGGCTTCACACTGTTCTCTCAGCCAGCTGTAAAGCAGGTGGGTGAGAGCAGAATGAGTCCCCAATACCTGCTTTGTGCACTGCTCCCCTCCTGCTAGATCAGGCTGTTTCTGTGCCAACCGTCTTGTCTGGCTGTTAGTTTGGGGTTTGGCTGCTGGAAGTCACTGGTGTTGCTGAAGCAAGGGCTGTTTTTCAGTTTGCAGATGGGCCACTGATAAATCAGCTGGTGGTGCTGCTGCTGCAGAGGAGTGACCAGCTCTATGAGATCCCAGCATTTAAAGATGACGTATACAGGTGAGATGGGCCAGGAGGCCCAGCCAAGCTCCCAGCCCTTCCACTGCTGCAGCCTGGCATCCCAGGGCAGCCCAGGAGCCTTTTCAGTTGTGGTCCAGTCCCTGCTGCGACACATCTTTGGAGAGTGCAAAATGGGAACTGCACCTTCAGCCCTGCGGGAAACATCCTGAGTGTACACCAGCTGCTAGCACTTCCTTGGTTTGGTGATGACCACTTTGCCCGTGGTCTGAGTTCTGCCCATCTCTCTCCTCCAGGGTGCTGAGCTCGCAGCTGGTGATGCTCTGCAAGCTGCGCCCTGCGCTCATCGTGGAACTGTCCAAGGAGATTCTGGAGTTCTCAGGAACAGTCAGCAACATCCAGAAGAAGGAGGCCATCTTCACCCACTTGGTAAGCAGGGTCTGCCTGCTTCTGCCACAGGTTGCTCCAACTGCGGTGCAATCTGTTGGTCACCTTCCCTTTTCTCCTCTCCTCTGTCCTAGCATTAGCTAATCTGATTTGCCATTCCCTAAAAATTATTCTATCCCCTTTCCTTCTGTTTGCCCTGAGCACATCTGCCTTCGCTTCAGGTCTGGGCTATTGGAGAGTACCTGTCTGTGTCCTACGACAAGCGCTGCACTGTGGAGCAGATCAACCGATTCTTTGAGACTCTGGAGGCCATGCTATTCGAAATCACCCAGCTCCGGCCACTGGCCAGCACCCCCAGCTACGCACCCCGCGCCATCAGTGTCCTTATGGCCACCTTGACCAAGCTGGCAGCTCGCAGCCAGGACTTGATCCCCAGGTGAGGAGGGATGGCAGGGAAGGGCAAAGGGCAGAAAGGTGCATATCTGATGGGTCCAAACACAGATGTTGGATAGTGTTAAACAATCAAGCTTGGCAACTGATGGAACCTGAAACTGAAACAGGACAGAGGAAGCAAGCTGTGGAGGAGCACACTTTAGGGAAGTGGGATTCATCTGCTGACTAACGCTCTGTGCATCAGGAGGAGGGGGTGGGTAGCATCTGGTGTTCACCTACAACAGAGTCTTTTGGAGTACACAGGCTTAAGTAGTGACCTTGCTGGGTGCAGAGGTCCTGCCAGCTGATGTCCATGTCCTTCTCTCCTGCAGAGTGTCCATGTTCCTGTCCAAGATGAGGACATTTGTGCAGAGCCCTGCTGTCACCTCTGTTTACTGTGAGGAGGACCTTGAGGAGATCCTTATCCGGGCAACAGAGCTCATGAACCTGCTGAAAATGCCAAGCGTGGCTCAGTTTGTGTTCACGCCACCTGTAGATGTGGCCAGTACACGGTTTCAGAGAGAGGTGAATGACTCCCTTCCTTTTGCCCTGCGGATAGTCACACGTCTCCTAGAGCCAGCTCCTGGCTTCATGCCAGGGTGAAGGCATGAGATTTCTGAGAGGCTCCAGCCTCTATTGTAACTCATCGGACACTGCTGACGCCCTGCTGTGAACTGGAAATGAGGAACAAATGATTGTGAATGAAACAGAAAACAGGAATAAGTAAAGCTGAGGCAGCTTTTCTGCTCTGAGGCTTTTTGTATTTCTGTCTCCTAGTGTCTGTTGCTTTTCTATCTCCTAAGCTTGTCTTACCTCTTCCTGGTCAGTATGGATTGAAAATCCCAGTGGATTTGTGTGAATATGGCAGGAGGGTGAATGCATGCATTAATACCCTGCCAGCACACCATGCCCCGTTGGAGACGTACCTCTTCTTCCCTCCCTTCCTCTGACTTGTTTCTCCCTCCCCTTTGCCCTCGCTACACCTTGGCTATGCATGTGCTTCTTTTATTGCCTCTCTGCTTGCAGCAGATCAGCCAAGCAAAGGCCTGTGCGAGGCAGAGAAAGCAGAAGTGAGTCCATTAAGTCTGCTGCAAGCCCTCACTGCTCTTCTGTCTTACCATCACAGTGAACATGTCGAGATCCAAGAGACAGCTACCAGACAGGAGCGTAGAGAGATTTATTGATCCAGTTTATTGTTGACACCAAAAGCATTTCTTAACATACATCAGCCCCGTGTCAAACAGGCGCCATGCTGTGTTCTGTATCTGCATGAGAAGTTTATACACATTCGAGCTGTACAGTATTAACAAATGGGGGAAGTAAATGCGTCCCACTGCTCCTCCCAGGAGAAGCAAGCCCTCATGCACACTAGTAAATAGCCGGGTTTATTTACAGTCTGTTTCAATACCTGACTGCACTGTGAGCAACATACAGTTCTGGGGCTGTTTCCCGCCTCCAGGGGTGCCTGGAGAGTCAGGCTCAGTGGGGAGCAGAGGGTTGTGTTGGTACTGCTGGAACTTGCCAGGGTGCAGCCCCAGTACTGTCTAGTGCAAACCAAGCCTCCCCCGAGCCCTGGCTCCCGGGCAGAGGGGAGTAGCGCATGCAGTTTGCCCAGGGGCTCTAGGCAGCCCATTTCCTGCCCTACCAAACTGCTGAGCTCCGTGGAGGATGACAGGCCAACATACCTACTTGATTCAAAGTCGAGTGAATCACCAGGAGCCCCATGGGGCCCTGAGCCTTTGCTTGCCTGCCTGGTACAGCTGAGTCAGTGGCAGGAGGGATGCATTTATCCCAGTCCCTGCTGGGGCGGCACCCCAGGCCAGTTGGCCCATGGCCTAGCAGAGAAGCAAGGCACTAGTGTCTCGGTGAAGGTCTGTCTTGCCCTAGAAAAGGCAGGCCAGGCTGCGTTGAAATCCAGTAGTGGAGTGTTTCCCCTGCGTGGGTTATTCTGACATCTCTCTCCTTCTGCAAAGTGCAAGATGAAGCACAGAAACCAAAACTACAGCAGTGAAGTATCTGAGGTTTAAGGCCAACCCTGTAAAGCATCCCTTTTTTAGCATCACAATTCTTGAAGAACTCTTCTTGTGAGATGCCATGTGAATATCTGATTTGCTGCCAGAGCCTAGACCATGCTGGTTTAAGTGCAGGGTGTGACGCAGGGCTTTGCGGCAGGCAGTTTTAATAGCGTTTGGCTAAACTAGGTCTTGGTATCTGTCTATATGTGGATATCAGGTCGGGTTTATCCCGTTAATGTTGCTAAAAGCACAGGGAGGACCTAGCAGGCAGGAGGCCGGGTGTGCAGGCGACCGGCCAGCCGCACGGTGGAGCTGCCACCTCAGCTCTGCTGACACCGTTGTTGGCAGCAGAGAGCAGAGCTGTTTCTGGGACATTCAAGACTGACCTTCCAAAGGGAGCCTTTGCTGCCCGCCATCACTGCATGTCAGCAGCGGGCACTTCTGAGACGCTCTGAGCTAGGCAGAGTGGCCTTACAATGGCCTGGCAAAGCTGGAGGGAGAGGACCAGGACACGGTGCCAAGATGTCGTTTGTCTGCCTGGGCTAGTGTCAGCCACACTTGGGGTCTGGCACTGCACGCTGTCAGGCTCGCTCAGGTTTCTGGTGACACAAACCCACTGTTTCCAGCTCGCAGGGACCAGGGGCAGGCGCAGAAGCACTAACCCAGCCGTAGCCCCTTGGAGGGGGCAACAGCTCCTGTGTGGGCAAATTCTCTGCTGTGAATGCCCCGTGCTGCTGGGTCAGTCCTGGGGGTCTTCTGCCAGGATCATGGTGCCAAAGCTGGGCAATAAATCTGCTGCATAAGCAAGGGCAAGAGAGTCCTCTTCTTCAAGGGGCTCCCCCCAGGACTCACAGGGAACTGCTGGTGGTGTCAGCACTTTTGCTGTAGCTGCTTCCCATCCCGAAGCAGGGCTGGGGACAGCATGATTTTAGCCCAGCAGCAGAAAGGCACCTGACTTAGGGTATGGCACCAGGGAACTTAACTCTGAGCAATGCATCCTGCTTGGAATCCCGCTCCTGGGTACTTGGGCTGCCTTTACTACCCCCAAAGCTGGGCACCCTTTTCCAGCCTGATGCCAGCACCTCAGGTGGCCACTGCTACAGCGAAGCCCAGGCCTGCTCCACATGCTAATCTTGAAATCCCAAAGGTGTTCCAAGCCTTCTGCCTGCCGGTGTGAGAGATAACGCAGAGCTGTCAGCCTTGAGGAACGGAGGAGCCTGCCTACGGTCCCCATGGGGGGAGCATCCCCTTCCTGTCCCCTGCCAGAGGGGACAAAGGAGCAGGAAAGCTCCTGAGAAGGACGACACAGGGTGTAAGATGAGGCTGGGCAATTGATCAGGAATGATGCTCCCAGCCAGTGCAGTGGCAGAAGCGTGCACCACCCTTGCATGTCCTTTCATCTGCTGCAGCGCAGGGGTGTCGAAAAGCAAATTGAGGGTAGTTGTGGCGTCCTGGTTGTCCCTCTTACATTCCAGGCTCCCCGAGGGCAGCCTTAACCAGAGCTGCACTTGCAAGCTGCTGCAGAAGAACCCTCATACCACAAAAACTAGGAAGAAGAGGAGCTGGAACCAATTTTTTTGGCTATTTCCATGTCCGACTTGGCAACCAGAAACCGCAGCTTCTTCCCTCCAGAGCGGATGAGGTCCACCGCACTGTAGAGAGCGGCAATGGGGAGAGAGGTGAATTCTGGCTCGCCGCAGGCTGGCAGCCCCCCGGGAGCCTGCCAGGTCATGAACATTTGCAAAACACCCCTCCATTTGCAGAACATCCCCCCACTCTCTGCTTTGGGCCTGCTCGGTGTTACAAGCAGGGTCCATTTCTCTTCTGCCTGTAGCTTTACGGGGAGGCTGGCCTCCGAGCAAGTGCTGCCAGGACGAGGGCAAACGAGCCCTAAGCTGCTCTGCCCCGTGGGCACCCGGGCTCTGCCTCGGACAGCCAGGCAGGGTGCAAGCTGCTCCGTCCCACTTTGAGAGAAAGCCTGGGGTGGGATGGGCTGGAGCAGCTCTGCATTGCTGAGACCCACCTCTGGGGCTCTCGTTTACTTCCCAAATGTGCTCTCCAGCTTTTGCTCCCTGCTCCTTCTTCCAAACCCCTCCACCCAGCTGCCTTCCCCGCTTTCCAGAGTCCTGCACAAGTCGCTCCTCTCTCTGTGGCTTGCCCGTACCGCAGCATCCTCTGCATTGTTGGCCGGGACCGTAGCACCAGGCACTCGGAGACCCTGTGCAGCTCTTTGCTGCAAAACAGCTGAAAACCTGGACTTCAGCATTAACTCCCACGGTGCCGATACCAGACGGGGCCCTCCAGCGAGGCGCAACTCACCTTTGGTAGTCTGCCCCGATGAGACTGGTGCCATTGACAGCCAGGATGCGGTCCCCAATGGAGAGCCTGCCGTCGGTGGCCGCGGGGCTGTCCTCGATCAGGGTGCGGATGTAGATCCCCGGGGAGCAGAGAGGAGTGTGCTGTTGGCAGGGAAAGGCAATGAGCGACCAGCCAGAGTGGAGGGGGCACAAAAGGTTTGTGGTCCCAAAGGGCTGAGCTCCCCAGGCAGGGTGACACCTTACAGCCCAGCAGGTGCCTGATGCCAGGCAGGACCCTGGAGGTGCTGGGGAACGTGATGGATGGGTGCTGGGGATGGTGTCGCTAACAGTAACAGGAAGGAAACACCAGCCTTCAGTTTTATATCAATTTATACACAGAAAGGAGAGGTGAGGGCAATCTTTTCTTGTTCAGTTTAATTAAGAGTAAAGCATCGTTAACCTGCAGCCATCTTGGGATGGGAGCTCTTTGCTCAGGGCTGTCCCAGGGGCTCGGTGATGCCCTCTTTCCTACCGACTAATGCACGGCCGTGAAAGGCCACTTAGTAAGATGATCCACCGCACTAAGCCAGATTGCAACGCCACCTTATGCAATGAGTGCCGTGTCTGGTGGAGCTGTTCTGACACCCCGCAAGCCTCCCTGCTCCCCTCCTCTTCCCTTGCTGCCTGCTGAAGGGTGGAGGAAAGACCTCGGCTGAGTCATTTTCCTCCCACAAGAGTGCTGAGCCCGTTTGCGCTCTCCAGCTGCAGGACAGCTGTGATGGACTTTGCATGCACGGCACAGAGACCCAGGAGCAGAGATCTGCTCCTCCCGAGAGATCACTCTGTGCCTCATTTTCCCCAGGAGAAGCAGCCTAGCTCCTGGGGGAAGCCATTAGCTTCTTCGCAGCTTTTTCTTGGGGTATAAAACATGTCCCACATGTCCCACTCCAGCTATTTGGAGGGGCGATCGGTGAGAACTCACCAAGCCGTCGATCAGCCCCATCCCCAGCCCGATGGGTCCTCTCTCCAGCTCCACCACAAAGACGTAGCAGAAGTCATCGGTGGCAGAGCTGCGGCTGGAAGACTCTGGCGTGGGGTAGTCATAGGGGGTCGGCGAGCATCCTGGCAGCAGAGAGACCAGCTTACTGCTCCGGCATCCCCCAAACCCAGCCTCATGACCTCCCACAGAAAGCTGTCCCCCAAAACCCCATCAAAGCCAACCTCGGGTAGCCCCAGGGCTGGTTTTCTGCCAGGGCAGGAGCTGGATGAGATGCTTCATTTGCTCTCACCTGCCTTGTCCAAGCACTGACAATTCCCCGCAGGAACTGTATGTACAGGGAGAGCTGCACAGGAGAACGGCAGCAAGCACCCTC